ATTCTAAGCGAAATATTTGATTTGATTCTTCAGAATTGCCCATTGAGAAATAGCTTTTGTTGTTTTTATTTTTAATTGAATTGGATTGTTTGATATATTTTTAACTATTGAAAAGAAATTTATTTATTTAGTTTTGTGGTTTTTTTTTTTCTGAAAGGGGGTTCATTGTTATTAGTCAATTGGTGGTCAAGCTAAAGTGTTTTACTTAATTATAGTCAATTAGTATTTTTTTCATTAGTTATATATTATTCTCAAATCAATTATTTTCCTTTATAGCCTTCTTATATTATTCCTTTTATTTTATTTTTAATCATATGTATTCTCTTTTACTACAAAAATATTGCACATATTATTTCCATTAAATTTAGTAATGATAACGACTTTTTCCTACAAATAATGACTTAATGAATTTTTCCACCCACAGACTTTTTAAGGTGTTCTTTGGTTCAGGTAATGTTATTTACTGGGAAGTTATATTAATGGAAAAATATAGATTCTGAGATTGTTAGAAAAGTGTTTGGTTTGACTGAAATAAATTGGTGGTTATGTTTAATAATACTTGTTTGGTGGAGAGGAATAAATTGGGCGGTATAATTATGAATTTACTATGCTCTCTTTGAATTAATATTATATAATATTGTTTTTGATTAATTTTGTTAACCTCACGTTAATATTGCTAAAACCACCCTTACATGAAAAAGTTTTTAAAACTTAACAACCAACTCGTCACTCCACCTTAAGCCACGATGGCGCCATGCAACCACTTGCCAGAGGCGGATAAGTGGCTGGATAACGAATGGTTCTTTATGGGAGATCTGTTTCGGTCGTTATGCTCGATAATGGCCATTTTCGGTCAGATCCTCATGGATTGTCGAAAGTGGCCAAATCTACAATACCAAACAAGGACCATCATTAACAGCTCAAAGTTACTGGTCGTAATTAATCAGCCAATTCTCTATCGTGTAAGGGCAGAAGCCATGCATCTGGACATGTCCACTAGATCTATGTCCATATCAGGCCACGACAACTTGGAGCTTGCTGTGGTATGGCCGTGAGTGGTGGTAAACGAGGATCTTGGATGCCCTATAATATATAGGGCATTATCGTCTAAAATTTAATTAAATGATAGGGACAATTGTAATGAGATTATGTAAATTAATTTTCAAACATAAGGACTATTATTGCCAAAAAAATTATATAATAAGGGGTAAAATTGTACAAAAATAAGATTACCAAGTAATCTTAAATTACCTAAGAAAATGGGACGTAATCAAATATACTCATATATTAAAACAGTAAATACTATTGGTTTTGGAAGATTAACAATCAATTATAAATCAAATGAATATTGATCGTGAAGAGAATTGTGCGGGCCCAAACCCTAATCGTTATTGGTGTGACTTGTCTACAGTAAGTTGAGATTTTGATGAGTGAAACGGGAAGAGAGGTGGTGTTGTGGGGTCACCAAAACTCATAATTGTATACGAATTATCGATATGACAGTGAAAATCGGAGTAGAAGTTGCAATTATAGGATTATTGGTGACGGAATTGGGGTGAGGACAATAAAAGTTTAGTTTACTTTCTTATTTTATAATACCAACAAGATATTGTCCCCTGAATAATCATTATATTATTATGATTGTAGTCTAATAATGGTGGGAGGATACTTTCATTACCAGCCAAAATTGGCCAAAGACGGCGGTTGTGACAGCCAATAACGGTGCCTTCTGTTATTTTATGGCGGTGGGGCCGCCACATTTGACTCAGAAGAATAATTGTGTGATAGAGAAGAGTAAAAACATCGCATTCGATAGATAATTTTTTTGTGAAAGTGCTTCCAGTCTTCATTCTACTATAAAGCCCAAATGGGTTTGATGCTAACCTACAAACCCAAGGCTAAGCTTAATAATATCATGGGAAATTATCGCCCATTTTCCACAAGATTTGTCAAAAAATAAAAGTAAAAAAACAAAGCTTTTCTTGTTTATTATTAATAATCTCTAAATGTCACTTCTGACTCAATTTTTTTATCATCTTTTAGAATCACACTTATTTTTCCTTTGTAGCCTTGCAATTAGTATTATTCCTTGTATTTTATTATATATATCTATACTAAATATTCACAATTAGTATTTTAACAAATCATTTCATTATGTAGACCATATACCATCAATGATGTAACCAGACAAGCCACTCCTTGATTGAAAGAAAATATATCTGCCTGATACAAAGCACAGTATACAAACTAACACCAACACAAAGCAATCAAGCATGTATTTTAGCATTACACATGAAATGATGAACAACATGCAATGTTAATAACTTGAACCTCCTACTCACATTATCCAGAAGATACATACACACTAGCCAGTATCGCACCAGTATATACATCATTCCAAGAAAGAAGTGTGATAAATTTAAATTACTTGCTGTTTATTCACGTGCTGAAGGACAATTAATCATTATCTTCTACCAATCCAAGATACATCTCTGTTTAATCATTATAGGAAAAAACACAAGCCTAATTATTTATAGGTGAACAAAAAAAAGCCATTATTCAAATTTTGGTTTAAAGATTATAGTGTCGTCTAAGTCATCTTACATACGACCATTAATTTTAAATTGAAAAATGATTACTTTGGCTTGGATTCCTAACCTAGAAAGGCAACCACTCTGAACTTCTTCTATTAGACCCGACTAACATTGCAATATTGCAAGGAAATGATAGATATAGATAGAGTTGTAAAATTGAATTATTTTGATAGCTAATCGTTACCTAATCGCCAAAAAAAAATTCGACGAAGAGGTTCAAGGCGTTGGTACCTAGAGTTCGGCAACGTGGAACTTAATCAAATAATTAAGGTAATTTAAAATAAAAATAATATAATAAATATAAGAGTTCTTTAACATATATTTATTTAAGTTTACATTTATTATGATAATTAGACTGTGTATCAGAAAAAAATAATTTGATTTTATAAGTAAATTACAAAAGTCATATTTTTTTAATTAAAAGTCAAAACACACCCTACATCATGTGCCATGAACAAATAATACGATTTTTTCCTTTTCTAGGTTAATGAGATATAAATCAAGATCACTGAAGTTCTATAATTTAACAGATAACCTTAGTTTGTTCACATATGAGAGGTACTCGTTTTTCGCACCGTCTTCAATTAAATCGCTCAAATATAGGCAAGACAGATGAGAGATACTGTAGGTATAAAATGTATTTCCTTCCTTTTGAAATTGAGAACGGACTACTCCGGTATTGTTGGACTTTGCCACTTCACAATCGTTTATCATATAACACAATTTTCTTGCAACCCATAGAGAAAACCAAAGAAAATTCTTAGGTTTCTTAAGTTCAATTCCATATGGAATCTCTTTCAATCGGGGCATGTCTTAGGCAAGATCTTCAAGGTTAGGCATTGCAACTTTGTCTATAATAACTGGATCCACTCTTTAAAGTCAAAGAGGAACAAAATTTGCAGTTTGTTGAAACCAATTCTTTAACGAAATTGCTTATCATGCATGTGTCCCATAGCCTGAAGGTTCCCAATAATATAGGCAGTGGTTTGAAGGACTGCTTATGGGATCATCTGTTAACCCTGACCAGTTCAAACTAATTCTGATTTATACATTAATTTTAAAATATCCAGATCTGGCAAAGCTTCCATATTTCCTGTTAAATAGAGGAGTTGAAGACAATGAGGTGGACGAACCTAGATTCTAATCACAGAACTTCCGTCTCTATTGTCGACTGCTAACCCATCAGAGATTCAGTTTTTCCTATTTGCCATGCAGCACAGAAGACTTTTTCCATTTCCAGTTGTCAGCCTAACTCCAACTTTCTCGAGTATGCTTAGCGCATAACGCTCTCTGAGTACTTCAAAGATTAGCTTCACACCAAACCCTACTTCGCAAATCCAATAAAGGCCAAACCCCTCTTGTATTTTTCAATTCGTATTCACCACTGCTGCGAACCGGTACCTAGTAGCACAGCAATTTTTTTAGATTATTGATCGTCACTTGAAGCTCAGTGACCAAGAGATGTTTAAATTCAGGTCTTTGCGTTGAGATAACTTCCGATGGACTGGAAGTACTTTACTTTTATTTTTCACACTTAAGTAGTGACAAATGGATAAGTTTACCCATCCTTCAGGAAGATAGAGATAGGGCCATTTTCAAAATCTAGCACCTTTTCAATCAGCTTAAATCAAACAAGTCTTTCATGAAAGAGTTCGCATCCTATACAACATTGAAACAGAAAACAGACGTATCTTTTGAGTGTTGATGCTCTGCGAACATGTATCAACACTTCCTGTATTGAAATACGTCGAATTTGCCAAGAGATTTGAGTGTTGCTTTTTCACAATAGAAGAAGCCCAATATTCGTGTCTTCTAAGAATAATCTCATGCATTGATCATGTGACTCGACAATACTAGGTCTTCCAATGAAATCGCTTTACTACTTGACCAACTTCTGTTAATGAGATCAATCAAGATTCTTGAGCAACTGTTCAGTGTGCGGCGTTTGGAGTATGGACAAAGCCTTCATCAATCAACCATAGACGGATCTTCCTTGCACAATTGTTGAGTCGCTTTCTGGAAAGAAACCAAATACAACAAACAGATTTTAGATGTGAGGAGCAGCATATAACCTCTAATAAAACTTTTGCAATCTTTTAGATGGATTGCTTCCCAACTGTGACCCCAGTTATCAAGTAACTTTTCCATTCAAAAGCAACCTTGTTCTGTGTTTGATCAAATACCACCTACTGCAACATTCATTGGAAACCTACCACATGTTTTTAAATGATGTCATTAACCAATTTCCTCTCCAAATTGGGGGAACAACACCCCTGAGGACCAAAAGCCTTTCTACAAAAAAGTTCAAATGCCTTATCTGAAGGCAAGGGTTGTAGCCTATGGACATTAACAAAAGGAATCCGATAACAATGCCCCTGTTTCTGGTTGTGAGAATAATCCTACTACCTTTGTTGTTCTCAATTAAAGCATACTCTATATATCCCCAAAAATCAGTTTTCCACACGTCATCGAACACAACCATGCAACACTTGTCCTTTAATTGTCTATCTAGTGCGGTGAGCATATCATTCTCTTCCATTTTATCCATCTCTCCATGAGTAAACCCTGTCACACGATCAAATTCTTGTATAGTTTTCCTTAGTATATCCATTTTGGTGCATTCTTTTCCAACCGTGATCCAAGCTTGGCAATCGAAATGCTTCTTCACTGTATCATTCTTATAAATTTTCCCGGCAAGAGTTGTCTTACCAAGACCTCCTTTGCCCACAAGTCCAACCACTGAACGGTTGGATGTTCCACTTACCAACAAACCAATCAATTGGTCTATAGTAGATTCAATGCCCACAACTTCAGCGTCTTGGATGAAAAAGGAACCAACTCGAGAGTCGTGTGGAACAACATCTCCTTGATCTATGTGCCTCAAGTTATAGTGTTCCGCTCTTCTCTGTATATCAACAAGTGATGATTTGATATCTTTAATCTCAGATGAAATTCCATGACGCACCTTAATTTCATTCATGAAGCAACACATTTTATGAAGAAAAACAGTGAGACCTTTGCCATCATGTTCATGATGCTTCGCTTCATTAAGTATGTACTCATCTATGACGTCTTCAATGTGATAAGCTTCTTCCCTTACTTGTTTTACCCAAGTACTTACGACACCTCCATTGCTTTCTCCTTCTTCTTCAGCTGCTGCCCTTGTATCTGCATCCCTGAGAAAAGATCTGATGATCTCTAATTCTCTTTTGATGCTTTCAACTTCTTTCTTTACACTTCTCAACAACTTGGTTTCTTGGACAAGCAAGGAACCCAAGGTTTCTATAGCAAAGTTCACTGTAAACTCTGCCATATCTCATATCTCACCTTTTTTCTTGTTACTCACTGCATTTGATATGAAAAGTTTCTAAAATTCATGGTAAACTAAAATATCTTGTTCAAAACTACAATGATTTTGTTATGAAATATATAATCGTCAAAATTCATGATAAATAAGCATATCAGTTCAACAATAAATTGAGTTGAAATATTTGCTTCATAAATTATAACTACCAAAGAAGCTAAGTTTAATTGATTACCTTGGCGAAAACAGCAGAAAACTGGCACCTTCAAAATTTTCTCAGCCACCAAATAGAATTCAAACTATTATCTGTTGTTTAACTTAGAAATATCAGTTTTCAGGACGTGGGAATTGGTTGAAACTTGTAAGAGAAAGTATTTTTTTCTCTTAGTTGTAAACAGCTGGTGTAAAATAGACTTATTAATTAGTAATTAAAAAACTTTTAGAAGATGTATTAGTAGTTAAACCCTTTTAATTTGTCTTGATTACCTGTATTCCAGTCATTGCAGAAGGCAAAAGTGCCTTGAAGATGTTCAAGATTTGACTGGATTATTTAATGACGAAAGATGTGGATGGGGGAGAGAAAGTTTGGTACTATGAAAGCCCAAGTTGAGCTTGATGCTTAACCTATAATCCAATGGCTAAGATTAAAAATAATATGGGAAATTATCGTCCATTTTCTAAAGATTTTTCAAAAAAATAAATTAATAAATAAACTAAATCTTTTGACTGTATGCATGGCTTGCACAAGGTGCATTTGGTTCATTAGTATTAGTATGATATTTTTTATAATAATATTTTGAAAAAAAATAAAATTGGATGGTTATTACAAGGTATGATTTAAAAGTTAAAAAAAAAACACTCCTTTAAGTTTGTTAATTTACTAAACAACCCTATAATAAAATATTAAAAATTAATAAAAACACCCTTACCTACCCATTAAATATGGGCAATCGACCATCACCGTTAAAGGATGGCTGGAGTTGCCGTATCGGCGCATGACCAATTGGACATGACCGATCGTGCGCCAATATGACAATTTCCAGTCAGATCTATCGTGGATCTGACCACGTTTGATTGTCAATGACGGCCAAAGATATAGTCATCGTTGAAATACGTCGAACATTACGCATTTCTAGCTATGACATTCATTGTAGTTAAAAGTATGAATTTTACTTACATAGCTAACAGTTTATATTTTTTGCTATAGATAAGATTAATATGTAACTAAAAACTTAATTGTTTTTGTCATAAGAATAAAAATTTGTAGCAAAAGCTTTGCCTTTATAGCCATGACGAATAGATTGTATAGCTATGTTTGCATTTTAGCTACATAAATATAAATTTATAACTAAAAGCTTGAAAATTCCTGTTACAACAATAATACTTGTGGCAAATATATAGACATTTTAGCTACGTAACCAGTGGCGGATCCAGGAATTTCACTCGATGGGGGCAAAAAATAAACAAAAAAAATTTGTGGGGGCAAAATGTCAAAGTCTTATAGGGGGTAAAATACAACTAAATATAAATATCTATACAATCTGTAAGGTTTTTAAAGTTTGAGTGGGGGCCGTGGTCCCCCTCGTCATTAAGTAAATCCGCCACTGTACGTAACCATTGAATTCGTAGCTAAATAAAAAAATTATTCGACACATGTATAATAAATTGGTAGCTAAATATTAAATTATTTGCTATGAACATATAAAAATCATATTTATATATGAAAAGATATTGATATGAACATAATATGTTAATAGCTAAATATTGAAATTGCTTGCTATGAATACTTTTAATTTGTAACTAAATATTATAATTATTTGTAATGGATTGGCCCTAAAGATAAACTAGAATAAGTTCCAAATTAGCTCCATTGGTGATTTCAATACTTCCCTCTTTTGACTAATTAATTAAAGGTGTTTTAATTTGTGATCTAAAAATAATCTCACGATTCAAAATTTTGAATTTGTTTTTCTTAATATTCATAATAAAGCTATAAAAATATTAAAACAGTTTTTGGTCGTTTTTTCATCATACGCTAGTTTTTAGCATTATATTAAAAATATATTTTCGAGACATTTCAACTTTTTTTTTTTTTGTAATCAAGGTATTCGAACTAGTTTACGCACATCTACTATTCTCAGAAAAGACTAACGTAGCAACTTACCCCATAACCTCTCACTTAATCGCGGATACTCATATGAGGAATCAAACCCAGGCCAAGACCATTTCCACTTATTTCTATCAAACATTTTTTTTTTTAATATATTTAAAGTCTATATCATACATGATTTCATATTTTGAGTTAATTTTTCGAAATTTAATATGTTGTCAAGACTCTTTAGAGTGTCTCGATAACTTTTTTGAGTTATCGATACGTATAGATATCAAAAAGTTATCGATAACGTATAGATAATATCGTAAAGTTATGAATAATTAAATAAAATTAATTTTAAGCAATAATAGAAGCTAAGACTTTGCTTTGAATGCAACTCATCTAATGTAATAACATCTTGATTTATTTATTTATTCTATTTTTTTTGTCAATGAGTAATTACAAAATCTTCGCTAGTGGTAGCTAGTGGAGACCACTTAGATTTTACTTTTAACCTATAGTTTCATTATAGGACAAATGAAATATTCCTAGGACACTTTAATTTATTTATTTCTCTAAATATTTAGATAAACATGACGTGATTAATATTTCATTTAGGTGGAATAATCTAAGCAATATTGATTTGATTCTTCATGAATTGACCATTGAGAAAATGCTTTTTTTTTTTTAATTAATTGATTATTTTGATATATTTTTTAATAATATGAAAAGAATTTATTTTTTATTTTTTTTTTCTGAAAGGGGTTCATTGTTATTAGTCAATTGGTGTCAAGATAAAGTGTTTTACTTTAATTTATAGCAATTAGTATTTTTTTTCATTATAATATTTATTCTCTAGAATCACATTATTTTCCTTTATAGCCTTGCAATGTATTATTCTTTTATTTTATTTTAATCATATTATTCTACTTTTACTAAAAAATATTTCACATAATTTATTTATTAAATTATAATGAGTTAACGACTTTTCCCACCCAAAAATGACTTAACGATATTTTTCCACCCACAGACTTTTAAGTTTGTTTGGTCAGAGAATGTTGTATTACTGGGAATGTATATTAATGGAAAGATAGATTACTGAGAATATTTAGGAAAATGTGTTTGGTTGGTTGAATAAATTGGTGGGTATGTTACATTAATATGTTTGGTTGGAGGAATAAATTGGTAGGTGTATAATATAATTTACTATTGCTCTCTTTTTAAAATATTGATAAATATTATTTTTTGGATAATTTTTTTAACCCCTACGTTTGAGATATTGCTAAACACCACCAACATGAAAAAAGTTTCAAACTTAACAAAAACATCCTCACCCACCTTAACCACTATTGGCCGCCTGCACCACTGCCAGAGGCAATGGAAGTGGCTGTAATAATGCACGAATGGCCGGATCTGTTCGGCCGTATGCCGATATGGCTATTTTCGGCCAGATCCGTCATGGATCTGGTCGAAAGTGGCCAAATCTACTACCAAAACCAACCATCATTACAGCCAAAGTTCTGGTTGTTATTATCAGCCAGAGTTCTGGTCGTTGTTAACGGCCAGAAGCCATAGATCTGGACATTTCCCACTAGATCTATGGCCATATCAGTGCACAACGACCACTTTTGGAGGCTGGTGGTGGTTGGCCACTGCCGATGATGGTGGTTGGTAAGCGTAGTTGATCTTAGGTGGCCTGCAATATATAAGGGCATATCGTCTAAAAATTTAATTAAATAATGATACAATTGTAATGACAGATTAATGTAAATTATTTTCAAAATAAGGACATTATTGTCTAAAAAATTATTAATAAGGGGTAAAATTGTAATAAAAATAAGATTACCAAGTAATCTTAAAATTCCTAAAAAATAGACGTAATCAAATTACCTCATTATTAACAACAGTAATACTATTGGTTTTGAAAGATTACCAAATCTTATATTACTTAACAACCAAATGTGGTAATCAGTGGTGATCGGAAAAGAGAATGGTGGTGTTGTGGGGTCGCACAAACCCTAATTGTTCGATTACTCGCGATTGACAGGGTTGACGGGAGTAGAGTTTAGGGATTTTGATGAGTGATATTCTGGAAGAGAATAGTGGTGGTGCAGGGTCACATAAAAAGAGTTTGTTTATTCATTTATATTTTATAATACCCAAAAGAATGTCCCTAATCAACATTATATTATTATTGGATTTTAGTACTATAATGGTGGGAGGAGACTTTCTTACCACCAAAATTAGTGACACAAGACGGCGGTGGTGACGCCATAACGGTGACTCCTGTTATTTATGCGGTGGGGCCACAATTTTGACTCAGAAGAAATAATGTGGATGAAGAGAAGAGTACAACATCTATTCGATAGAATAATTTTTTGTTGAAATGGGCTTCAAGTTATCTACTATAAGGCCCAAGTTGGGCTTGATGCCTAACCTAAAACCCTGGCTAAGCTTAATATATCATGGGAAATTATCGCCATTTTCCAAAGATTTTGCAAAAATAAAATAAAATAAACAATAGCTTTCTTTTTATTATTATTAATAATCTTCTTAATAGTCAATTCATGACTCAATTTTTTTATCATTCTTTAGAATCACATTATTTTCCTTTGTAGCCTTGCAATTAGTATTATTCTTTTATTTTATTTTAATCATATTATTCTATTACTAAAAATATTTCACATATTTTATTTGTTTATTTATTAAATTTATAAATCATTATATATTATTGGGTTTTAGTACAATTCATTGACACTAATAAATGGTGAATGTGGAGTACAATGTGCCTCACTGCCTTGATTTGAAGATATATAGATAAATGTAGCTTCTGGGATTCCCTTATGTTACAAATTGTGGGCACCATGTATTCACAAACAACCATAACAACCATTACAACAACATAAGCAAATCAATCAAATGTATTTTATGCATTACACAATGAAATGATGAACAACTGCAAGTTAATACTTACATCTCTACTAGCATTATCCAAGAATGCAACAATCACACATTGCCAGTTATCGCTACTAGTACTACATCATTCACAAGAAAGAAGTGTATAAAATCTTAGAATTACCTCGCTTATTTATGCGGAGGGAGGACAATTTAATCATTATCTTCTCACAATCCAGATACATCTCCTGTTTATGATAATAGAAAAAACACAAGCCTTAGTTATTTATAGGATAA